TCCTTTCCTCCCTCCCTCCCTTCCTCCCTCCCTTCCTTCCATGGTTTTTCCCATTCAGATTCAAATAAGCTGTGAGCTATAGATGGGGGAAGGGGCAAATTGGGATTTCCAAAATACTTCATATTGAACTTCTTCACGTAAAGAAAGGTGGCGGTAATGTAAGGAGGCGAAATGGGGAAATAGCCTCTTTTGTTTCACCCCTGCCTGATCCAGTTATAGGGTCCCTTAGGCTCTTTTTGACAGGGCCCTGTTTCCTCATTAGTTACTTACATTTGCTTCTAGGATCACCCAGGGATGTTGAAGCAATGTACAATATACCCCCATTACTATTGTTTCAGCAAAATAATAGGTCAAGTGGCGCTAGAAGAAGCAATCCGTTCTTAGTGAGAAAGGTAGACAATGAGATGATGTATTCTTATATCCTAGCTCAAAATCCCTTGATATCCTTTAGTAGGGTGTTGTCCATTGACATTCCTGATTCCTTTTTCACTTTTACTTCATCCCACAATCTTTGTGGACTTTCTCTCAGTTCTTTATTTGCTATTTAATTTATGTAACATCCTGTACTTTCCTCCATCGAGGTATTCTTCTGTTGAAGCTATATATTTGCAGAAGTGGATTTCTGTCTGTTCCATGTCTGAGCAAAGACTAAATATCTATAAGCTCTTGCCATGATGGAGAGAAATACAAAGAACAGGACGAGAGGGTGTTACGGTGAGATCCACCGGAGATCCACTTGGGTGTATAGAGTCTAGTTCTGTTCGAGGGCCACTGCTGTTCCGTTAGTCCCAACAAGGAGATGCACAGTGACAAGAAAGGGAGAGAACACTTCCTGTGAAATTTTTTTGCAATGCAGCACTACAAGATGTGGCAAAGGAAGTGCTGTTTCCAAGGATGCAAAATAGCAGTTTGGGCATTCAGGGGGCTTCCAGAAATACCAACTTTTGTATCACAGATCAAGCTAGTTTGGGGCTGGATTGTGAAAATATCAACTACGGTACCAGTCTGGCAGTTCTCCTACCCTGCACACTGGATTGTCTAGCCCTCTTTCCTTTCAGTTCAGCTTTAAGAGTTAGGGTGGCTTTAATAATTAATTAGAAGATTCGGGGATTTGATCTGGGCAATCTCCTCACCGCCACTTCATGAAAGATTAAGGAACAGCATCTGAAATTTTTCTGCAGCTTATTGAGAGAGCCACTTGACTTGGTTTTTTTCCCCAAAGATGTTTAAGGAGGATGGCAATTTCCCTAGCCTGTGATCAGAATTATTCAAATGACTACATGGTATGGTCTAATTTTAACTGAAACATATTCAGAGACTCTCAGATCTCCTAATAACAAGCACATTGATCCCTGTCTGATATATACCTGACAGTCATTCTAGTCTCTTTCTCTTACCCTATCATGCCTTAAATTGGTTTTCCATCATCAGGTTTCAGATCTCCTGGTAATTCTTCCTGAGCCCACATTTTCTCTTTCCTTCCTTCCTTTTTTTTCAGCTTCTTTTTTGCAAGTTATTTAGCTGTGGGCCCATTCTGACTTGCACATTCACTAGTTCATAGACCTTCAAATCCCAAAAATCAACACAGACAATTTATATGTATTTGTGGCCTGTTAACAGTAAAATTATGATCTACTAAATAGGAAATGCAGGCCTTGAGCTATCAGTCTATTTATGATTCAAGATCTTTCACAAAGCATAAGTCCAGTCAGGATAAAAATTTAGAAAGGATGTGATCTATGACATGTAGTATAATCAACTAGATGAATTAAACCTCTCCTTAGTGACTCATCCCATGGAATTCTTCTTGAGTTTTCTATTCTGCTTCCTTGGTTTCTAGTATTTGGTGCAGTCTTTTTAGTGCAAGAAATGAAGTAGCATAACTTCTCCAAAAGGGATATCAATATAAGAAAGGATTGTTAATTAAGTACAACAAAGGGTTTTGTGGCACCTTAAAGAATCAAATATATAAAGGCAAAAAAACCAAGGGTTAATATAACACGGCAATACCAATATGGGCTTTTTTTTTTCATGTACTGAGAAATCAACATGAATAGATTGAGTTCTAAATGATAAATTGAGTCTCTATCAGATAATTCCCAAGACCCAGCCGGGAGTCTAAAATCTCCTGGCTTCCTGATGATGTATGGAGGTCAGTTTATGTAATGAAGTATGGATGGAGGGTGAATCAGCATTGAGACGGAATGGGGCAACACCCTATTTCCTCATAGCTAAATGATAGGTTTCTATAGGCTGGAAAGGCCAGGCATGCACCAAGGAAGAGGTTTTTTTTTTTAAAAAAAAATTTTTTTTACACTTTTTGAGAAATTTGTGATACTGACTACTGCCAGCAAGCAGATAAGACAAGTCTATCCACTATCCATTTCGGGAAAATGGATACACAATTCATGGTCCAAACGGGAAGACTAGCCAAAGTTTCCTTTAATGCCTTTGGATGCCATATGAGACTTGATACAAGAGCAAGGAGAATTTATGGAGGAAAAACATCTTTCCTGACCTGAAGGGCGCACTCTGGCCTGTACCTTCTAGATGGCATTGCAGTCTTCCATTCTCATGGTTACCTCCAATGGAAGCATGTGCTCTGTTGCTGTTGGTGGACTTTCTGCCTGTTCATAATGTTTATGGATTGCTCATATTTCAAGGGATGCGAAATAAGTAATCTGTTAGGGATGGAGCTGGTCCATATTTCATGTGCGCAGAAGCTGACTAGGTTGCAGTTCTTTACTTTCAAGGCTGACTAGGTTGCAGTTCTTTACTTTCAAGGCCTTCAAGTAAAAGAGGAATGTTGCCCAAAACAAGAGAATGCATAATCAGTTATGCTCTTGAATGAAATGTTAAAAAAAAGGAGAGGCTGCTTGGTAGGAATATTATGGATAAACCTCAAAATGCTGTGAAGTATATTAAGAGGCAGGATTAAAAGTTGGCCATTAGGAATCCCTCATTTCTCTCTCTAATGAGAAGACTTAGTTTAAATAGCGTTTAGCAAGATTGAGAAATAGAATCACGGACTGGATTTCATATATTTATAAGAATTGAGGCCAAAGCAATGGTGTTCTTGTTTAGTTGTGCTTTTCCAAATGGAAAATAACCTTGAATTTAAGATGACCTTTTCAATAGAAGCATATATTGGGGAAAAAATCTGTCTGCCTCTATTTTTATATTCTTAGCAAACCTAAGTGGACCATAATATTTTAAAGGTAAAATATGTGTCTCTCTATTCTAAAGATAAATTATTTGGGGAGGGGTGGGGGGGAGTTGAGATATCCTTTCAGATAAATTTAGTACTTGCTATCTACTTTATAGGGAAATACAAGGCTAAACATGAGGACAATATGATAGTCATGGCAATATTTGTCCAATGTCTTTAACCTGGACAAATGGCTACCATAAATCTAAAGGCTGTTTGGATGGTGTGGAGAGGGACCAATCATTAGCCACCAGAGGCAGTCATAGGGATTGCAAGGGAAGAACAAACTTTCCAGGTTTGGTGAACTTTCAGGAGAAGCTAGACTTGCAAAGCCCGTCAATTTTAAGAAGCAGAATTTCAGCCAGCTCATGCCCTCATATCGGAGGAAGGGTCATCTGCTGAAATCCTGCCTCCCATGAAAGTTTCCAGCGTGAGCTTGGTGCTGGAACTAGCTTGTTTTCCAGATGGGTTTTTGCACAGTCATTGCTGGAGCCTGGTCTCCTAATAGCAAGAGGGAATTACTCTTTGGAAAAAAAAGAAGACCAGCAGTCTGTTGGCCAATCACACTGCTGGCTATGCCCATTGTTTTTTTTTTATCTAATGGGATCTGCAATAAAATGTTACAGTCCGTAGTCTCCATCCCATTTGGAAAGCTTTCATCTAGCTACTATGCCACCAGCATCAATTTTGATCATCTTATTATGTTTCACCAAAGGCAGCGGAAGAATCTTGTGGGCCCCTAATTAAAGAGTAATAGATATACTCCAGGAGGAGGGAGGGATCTGTAAGCCCCCAAATGTTGCTAATTTCTATTATAGCATTAACTTTTGGAGATTTAAACCAGATGTTGCAGTGTTTCTCAACCTTGACAATTTTAAGGCATGTGGACTTCAACTCCCAGAATTCCATAGCCAGCATTGCTGGCTGTGGAATTCTGGGAGTTGAAGTCCACATGCCTTAAAATTGTCAAGGTTGAGAAACACTGTGTTAGAGTGTTGGACAGCAATTTATCTTCGGTTTCTAGACTATTAGCTCAGGAATGTCACTGAGCATACTCAATCCTCTATGGGCCTGTTTGGAGGATTGTCTTCTTTTTGTTTGTTAAATTCTTTTACTTACTATATTTTCCTTTATCAGAGGAACATTAATACAACATTTTGTCCTCCTGAACATTCTGCTTTATCAGCCACTGAGCTTCATGGCTGAGGGCTGATTGGGAACCCTAGTTTCTATGATTCTGGTTCAGTTGGATGCAAAATGGTTGC